GAATGATATCCCATATTCATGGAATGGAAGATATTTATTAAAATGGTAATATTTCTCAAACAGCTCTGTTTCAGTTCAATTCATGTGAAAATTTCACTTAGTTTTTTTTCCCAGAAAATGACAAAGTGATTTGAAAATTTGTAGGGCAACATGAGAAAGCCAAAATGTTTAAAACAGTCTTGAAAATGAACAAATTTGAAAGACACATTACTCAATTTCAGAACTCACTACAAAGCTACATTAATCAGGACAGTGTGGAACAAACTGACATATAGATAAACATATGAATCAACTGAGAGTCAGAAATAAACATATTTATCTATGATCAAATGATTCTTCCTCAAACTTCCCTGCGGGGCAGACAGTGGAGGATGAAGAAATGAAGACAAGGTACAGAATGCAGAAAGCTGAGGTCAAGTGCAGCCCTTTCTCTGGATGGAAGAAAAAGAACCACTCAACAATTGCAGCGTGTTTATTTATACATGCAGCAGGGTGATGTCAGGTGAAACCACTCTGTCTAACAATTATCTCGCTTCTCACACTCCCTGTTCTCTTTGCTGGAACAGCTGTTCACCTCTGGTACCTATGCCCTCAGTGCGTTCCTCTGGAGCTCTGTGCTCTAAGCTCCCCACGTGTGAACAATCTCCAGTTCAACCGCTCCTGACACTTTGTAAAGGAGCCAATCCCACTCAATCTGGAAAATCAGTCTTTTCCACAGTAGTTCTGGTACAACTAGTCACCGTATGTAAAAGAAAAAAAATTAACCTCTCTTACTATAACAAAAAATTTACCTGAACTGATCATAGACCCAAATATAAAATATAAAACTATAAAATTTAGAGAAGAAAGCATAGGTATATACCTATATCTTCACAATTTGGGGTTAAGCAATAAATTGTTAGACATGACACCAAAAACAAAATGAAAGCTAGATAAATTAGACATCATCAAAATTACAAACCTGTATGTTTCAAAGGATACCAGGAAGGATGTGGAAAGATCACTCACAAAATGGGAGAAAATATTTGCATGTCTTATATATGTTGAGGAACTTATACCTAGCATATGCAAAGAATATATAAAACTAATAAAAACACAAATAACTCACTTAAAAACTACACAAATGTCTATGAATAGACATTTTTCAAAAAAAGAAAGATACATAAATGGGTAAATAAGTACATGAAAGGATGTATCAATATCCTTAGTCATTAGGAAAATGCAAGGAAAATTACAGTAACAAGTGTTATTGACAGTAAGAAGTGAAACAATGACTAGTATAGGAAAGAATATGGAGAAGCTCTCACAAATTGCTGTTGGAAATGTAAATCATTCAGCTAACTTGGAAAATACTTGCCAGTACCTCAAATTAAACATGGGTTTGCCATCTGACCTAGCAATCCCACAAGTAGGTGTATAGTCAAGAAGTATAAACATATACCAACATAAGAACTTGAATATGAATTTTATTTGCAACATAATTTTAATATCTATACAGTAGAAAACCCCAAATATTAATCAGTGAGTGAATAAACAAAGTGTGCCATACGCATGCAATGGAATGTCATTTACTCATTATAGTAATGACACGCTGATGGAAGCTACAGCATGGCTGGACCTTGAGAACATTATGCTGTGTACAAGAAAGAAACCATAAAAGACCACATATTGTATGAAATAATTTATATCAAATGTCCAGAATATGTAAATCTATAAAGAAAGCAGGTTAGTTGCTCCTTGGGGGGCAGGGAGGAATGGATAGTTATTTCTAATGAGTGTGAGGTTTCTTTGGGGATGATGGAAATCTCCTAAAATTATATAGTGGTGACAACTCTAACTATGCTGACCACCATAGACTTGTGTCTTTTAAAGGAGTTATTTTATGATACTCAAATTAATATATTCTTAAGGCCATTATGAAGAACAGCAATTGTGGTATCTTCTTCCTTGCATAGGTTGCTGTATTTAGCCAGAGAAGTGAAGAAGATGAGTAATGTCAAGCCCCCTTCTGTAAAGCTGAATGATGGCCACCTCATGCCTGTGCTGGGATTGGGCACATCTGCTGCTCTGAAGGTAACCGTAATGGCACTGAGATGGAAGAGTGGCAGACCGGTTCCTCATCAGAGCCAGTCATTGTGTAGTTGGGGAAACTTAGGTAGGCCCAGTTTTTTTTTCACTTGTTAGACACTTCTCTCCAGGTTAGGGAGTTGTGCATTATTACTTTGTATGTTGTTAGTGCTTTTCAAATTTTCATGGAGATTTTGATGATCTTATTAAAAATACAGATTTGAGGGCCTTATCCCTAAGGTTCTAAGTCTGAGATAAGTCTTAAAAACTGACCTTTCTATTGAGCTACCAGGTGATTCTGATTCAAAGGAGCACAGTTGGAGCATCATTATACTGAGGGAGATGAAGTGTGTCACCGCCCAGCAGTTCAGGGATGGGTAAGCCTGTTTTTATGGCTCTCCCTGTTGTCCATTTGTAGCCATTTTATATTACAGTAAATTATACCTAGTTGCCACAATCACATGTTAGAAAATTTGTATTAAATTTCTTTGTGAAATAATGCCAGACTCCTCTTCAATTTACCAATCATTGTATAACACCCAGAGAAATCTCTCTGGCAAAGGAGACTAGAGAAAGACAGGATTAGAGAGGGCTTGCCAGGAGTGCTGGTGGATGCTGGTAATCCCAGCACTTGGGAGGTTGAGGCAGGAGGATCAACGTGAGTTCGAGACCAGCCTGAGCTACAAAGTGAGCTCCAGGGCAGCCTGAACTGCATAGCAAGACCCTGTCTCAAGAAGACCAAAAAAAAAAGGCCTAGAGAGAGCTTTGGGAGGAAAGTTTCTCAGAGGCCAAATTGTTGAGGCTATAGAAAGTGAAGTGTTAGTAAGAAATTCTCTTTCCGTTTTGATGACTGAATACCACACACATTTCTGAATCAGTGCTGTGAACTAGCAATGGCACACAGTAGTGGTTCATGATGAAGAAGGTTATAATTTCTAAAAGAAAATCATAGACTTTATTCTCCACCAAGAGAGGTGCACGCAGCACACCACTGAGAACTGTAAGCAAGGGCAGTGGACAGAGTGCTGCCTCTGTCTTGACGAGGCTCTTTGACCTGAAGATACAGGTTGCTGTGTGTGAAGATAGTCAATCTGTGGGACTTAGGTAACACATAAGGAGTTGGAAATTTGAAAAATACATACGGGAGACACTTAACTACTGAGAGAGAAAAAAACATGGATGATTTTAGGAGTCCATCTGGTAGCCCAACAGAACAGTAGACAGCAGATGAAGTATCGTGTTTTTAATTTATTTATTTATTTATTTATTTTTTATTGGTGCTGGGAATCGAACTCGCACTTGCTAGGCAGGCACTTGTGCCACTGAGCTATATCCCCAGCTGAAGTATCTGTATTTTGAAGGAGAAAATGTCATCTAATGATCAACTTACTAACACAAAAAGGAATCAACTCTGATGCACATTTGAGTGAAAGAAAATTTTCTTTTATGTTTTGTTCTCCCTGAAATGTTCTTTGAAGTGCTTTAGTGTTTCTTGAAGTGTTTTAAATACGTAAATTATTGAAATTATTCTATCTAAAGTAGTATTTTCTTTGCATTGATAGATATTATTAGCATCAGATTTTTGGGTTGAAATAGTTTAATAATTTCTTTTAGAGTAAATTAATTTAGGAATATAAATCTATAGATCATATATCTATCTATCTATCTATCTATCTATCTATCTATATAAAATCCAGAGACAGTTAAACCCAGTGCTTTCTAGTTCTGCTTCATGTATGCTCAAAGCATCAATTGTGAGCATCTTCTCTCAAGTTTGGAAGTTTGAAATTAGATATGATGGGAATATTTATACTATAGGAATTGGGAAATACTAGAAATCAAGACTTTCTTTCTTTTGGAACTTACTTGTTACACATTTACCACTTGATATAGCTCAACATTTAACTTTGCCATATCTAGTCTTAGCTTTAAAAAAAAAAGATTCTACTGTGTAGTTCTGCGTATGAAACATCTGTTTGTGAGTCAAATAAATCTTTATCTCTTTATGTTCATCTAGGATGCTACAAATAAGGTAGAAGAAGCTGTTGCAGTAGCCATTGATATAGGTTACCGGCATATTGATTCAGCTTATTTATATCAAAATGAAGAAGAGATCGGACGATCCCTCCAGAAGAAGATTTCCAGTGGCAGTGTAAAGAGAAGCGATATATTCTATACTTCAAAGGTGCTCTTTATAGTTATGTGTACTGTATCTGTATCGGTAGGGAGCTTACTATTAAAACAATAGATTTTTGGAAAATTTCGTAGTTTGATTTTAATTTCCTCTGACCATGCAACATGGGAACTGACTTGGAATGACGGTTCTGTGGTCCGACTGTTACTAGAATGATCTTCCCAGGAAATTCTTTTGGGTTCTTGGTGTCCTGAACAAAGAATTGGACAAGACACATTGAAAAGGTGGGGGGAGGCAATTTATTGAAGGTGGAAAGGAAGTAGGCTCTGCAGTGTGAGAACAGGTCAGTGAATAGACCCGCACTGGCCACAAGGATAAGAGAAAGAGGTCTTTTGTATCTGGAATTCCTAGATTGTCTTCTCCCTCATGGAAATAAACATTTGGGACAGCTGTCCTATCAAAAGCACATGTGGCCTACTACCGGGTTTAAGCTGTCCTATCAAACACTTGCTTGGCTTCGTGCTATATATAATTAAGGATTGAAAATACCACCTTTCTGATTGGTTCCATGTACAGTGCTCAGGAAGGGCAGACTCATCTTGGATCCTGTGTTCTCCTCATGTTCCCTGGTTTTCATGACTTTCACAGATCACCCACACTTGTCTGACAAGTTTTGCCCTAGGCCTAATCTCCAGTCTCAAGACTTCTATATGTGAATCCAGTCCCTGCCAGTTTTTACATGTCTGACCTCTAACAACCTACGGAACTCTGTGCCTCTCTTTCTCAAGCTATAAAATGAAAATAATTTATTTACCTCACAGGCTTTTTATGAGTGTTACATAAAAAAGACATAAAATTCCAAGAAACAGTTTGACACATTTTAAATGCTTAAAACTGCTAGCCATTTTTATTACTATATATTTTTTAAACATATGAATGAGATGAATTTGGTTTTTCCAACTCCGTATACACAATGTTTAAAGTTCATTCTGATTCAATTTTTAAATCCTTTGCTTACAGTGTGAGGTAATATGACTTTGTCAGAAAGTATAAGCTTGGAATCATAAAACGGGGCAAAAATTACACTCCACACAGTGTGGGCGCAAAAGGGGTATAAAAAAAGGGAAAACAAAAAGAGAAAAAACACACAGCACCCCCGCGCTGAGAGAGACACCCCCCCCACCCCAACCCTTTCTCTTCAGCTCCTTCCCTCTCTCTGCTTCTTGGCTGCCATGAATGCAGTGCTTGACTGTTCCTCTCCCATACCCTTCCTCAATGATTCTTACCTAAAAACAGTGGAGCTACCCGACCATGGACTAAAATGTGTGAGACCATGAACCACAATAGATATTTTCTCCTTTTAAGTTGATTTATGTCAGATATTTCCCCACAACCACTGGACTAATACAGTCTTCACAACTCAATCTATTTTATGGTTAAAAATACTTATTTCTCTTTACTATGCACTAAAGATAACCTCAGAACTGATATAAGGATGATATTACAGATTTTAAAAGTACTTATGTTCTTTTTAAAAATCTCATGAGTCCTTTTCTCCTACTATTCTTCATATCTACTGATACAATAGGCAAAACATGAAATAGCTTAGGTATCATTGAACTGACTACTGTTAGAAAAAAAGCTAGATTTGATGATAAGTAGCCTAGAAAGAGCAAATTCAGTTCCATGTAAGTGACTGCTATGCAGGTCTATAAAGGGACATTTTTTCCTTCTAGCCTCCCAGTGTAAATCACCTCACAGAACTGTTTTTAGACATGGTATATTAGTCGCTCCACTGTCATCTTTCTAAGATATATTTATTCCCTTAGAGCTAGTTATTTTGATGCACTTTCCTTAGATTATTACTTCTTAAAATGAAGTAAGAAATATACCCACAAAAAGTTCTTGATAAACCTGCATTTCTTTGGAAAACCTGTTAAATATAGTCAAGGCAGAGTTTTCTGAATCACAGTCACTGGGTGTTCTTGTATAACAGTTTCTCAGTCTACCCTCCAAGCATTAAAAATTATTTATTGTTTAGAGTAAAACTCAGTAGTATATTTTGCAGAAGCAAATGTAATAATTATTTTACATTCTAAAGTTTCAGAATTGCTACTCTAAGACCATGTTTTCTCTTTCTATATTTGTCTCAATCGTGTGAAAATAGTTTAAGATGATAACAAGTTAATGAGCTTTATTGAGTATAAATTGTCACTTATCTATGCTGAGTGAAGTTTTGGTTGATAACATTATTTTCCATTTTATTAATCTTTTTTCTAAAAACTCTTGAAGAAATAATCCCACACAATCTCTTTCACCTGTTGCAGGTGTGGAGCACTTTTTTACAGCCAGAATTGGTCCAAACATGCCTGAAAGCATCACTGAAGAAGCTTCAGCTGACTTATGTGGATCTTTATCTCATTCATTTCCCAGTACCTTTGAAGGTTGGCACATTTTTTTTTACTTCAGTGATCAACATAAAAATTAGTACCTGATTATAAAGACAGGATAAAATTTGTAAAGACAAGACATATACACAATAGTATATGTATATCTCTGTCTCTCTCTGTGTCTCTCTGTCTCTCTCTGTGTTTCTCTCCCTCTGAAATTGTTTCCATATCAATTCGCTGTTCCATCCCTAGAGCAATAAAAATTGATTAGCGTCAATGCCTTCATCTTGTGGAAGTACTGTATATATTTTCCAGTTGCCATGCTCTAAATCTCAACCTCATGCTCACTGACTTCTGGGGAATGTTGCAATGTTGAATTCAGTTGAGAGACAGGACATTTAATGAGATTCAACATTTGAGATGCAGACAAGTCACTGAGAGTTCTTCCACAGTGTCCAAGACCGGGGGGGGGGGGCACTGGACATGAAACTAGATGAGGATCTATTAGCAGGGGGTTGTGGGTGCCTCATGCTAGCCTTGACACAATTATAATTATTGAACTTCTAGCAATTCAAAGCATTTCTAGGGGGGATTTAACTCAGCGGCACAGCACCTGCCTGGCAAACGTGAGGTCATGAGTTCGATTCCCAGTACCGGAAAAAAAAACAAAAAAAAAAGCATTTCTAGGAAGTATGCCTCTTCTTCAATGGGCTTACTTTGCCCTTAAATTAATTTTTAACACCTTTAAAGAACAAGGAAAGATTGTTTCATTAGTCTCAAGGTATATCTGTCCTGAATAATTTGGCTGAGGCCAGACTGATTTTTGCATAAACTTTCCTTCCTTCCTGTGTTCCAGCCTGGAGAGGAGTTTTTCCCAAAGGACTCACATAGCAACCTCATTTTTGATACAGTGGACCTCTGTAGCACATGGGAGGTGAGTGTCCTCCAGAGACACCCTGTCACTCCACAAGGAGGGAGAGAGAATGGACGAGGAGTTCGGGAAAAGGGGATCTAGTCCAGTTCTGCCCTCTGTATGGAAACAAGTCCACAAATGCCCCTCTGTTTTCACATTTCATTTACTTAATCATTCAACAAATATTTGAGTTATTACACTATATCAAGCAATATTTTAAGTACTCAAGAAATAACAGTGCAGAGAGAGCAAAGCTTAGAGTGCTCGGTGTTACGGTGGAGAAGTAAAGGTGAGTAAGGAAGGGATGGACTAAGAGTGGGGGGGGGACAGCAGGAGGGGCTTGAGACTTGGAGAGCATATTTGCACATGTGCATGTGCACATGCACAACATACACACACATATACACACAAAGTATAGACCTCTTTAAAACACATTTGAACAAAGACTTGCAAGAGAGGAGGGAATTGATTCTGCGAGTCGTGATATAAGCAGAAAGTCAAGGCAAAGTTCTCAAGGTAGCAATGACACTATGATCCTTTAAGGACATCTTGGGGCATGTGTAGCAGGACAGGATGAGTGAGGTAGATGGTAGTAGGAAATGAAAGCAAACCCAACTGGCGTGCGGGGTCTCGGCTGTGGATTGCCATTGCCCATGCCCTAGCTGGCCCCACTACCTGTCTTCCTGGTGCTTGGTTTGGCATGACTCAGTCAAATATTTCTAGGCACTCCCTAAAGATTGGAAAGGTAGTGCTCGCTCTTGATTGGCATTCTGGCCATACATTCTTTCTTAGTGCCTGTGCTGCTGAAGTGAGCATAGGCCACTCACATTCCATATGTTATCTTCGTCCCCATTTTTTTTCTACTATGTGTCATTTCTTCTCACTCAGTCAATTCCTACCTTATTTATTGACATTTGCACCTTAAAAGATTTTATCTCCCCCATCTCTCCCACCAGCCCTATTTTGAATACTCACATTTATTATTCTTCTCTAACCTGTTGCGTATATTACTCTTTACAACCCTTTTTTCTCCAGGCCATGGAGAAGTGTAAGGATGCAGGACTGGCCAAGTCCATCGGGGTGTCCAACTTCAACCGCAGGCAGCTGGAGAAGATCCTGAACAAGCCGGGCCTCAAGTACAAGCCTGTCTGCAACCAGGTGAGCGTCGTTAGTATTCCCAAACCTCTTCCTTTGCTTTTCAGTTTTCTTATTCCTTGGCCAAACAAAGCTGCCAACGACAATCCACTTCATTTATTTTACCTTTGGATATCAGATGCTTCAAAAGACCAGAATATATTTCAAATTACTTAAGGAAATCGTGCCCAAGGCTATGCATTGACTTTTTAAAAAATATAAGCATGGGTTGGAGTTTAATCTCCTAGTTCTTATGGGGTTGGTTTATAGACAACAAATGAATGATAAACAGTTTGGTAACATAAAAGGTCAACAAATTCAAAACATCTGTGTAAAAGAAAATGAGAGATTCATCTTCGTCTGGCAACTTGTGTAAGTTTCATGCCACGAGACAACCACTGAGCCTCTGGTGATGCAAACACTTTCCAAAACTTATTAAAAATTACTGTTTCGATAAGATTCTACTCTGACAATGGATGATAGGGGTGTAACAATGTGAATGTACTTAATTTCTGTGAATGGTGTAGTTGAAAATGGTTAAAGTGGTAAAATTTCTGTAATGAATATTTTACCACCATAAAAAAATTTAAAGTAAAAACATTCCATTCATTAAGACAAACCACTTAAACAGGAAATATGTGAACTGCATGCCCTGGGAAGCTGTGGAGGTATGAGTCCATGGGAATGGCTGACAGTGCTCCTGGGCTGTGGAGGCTCACCTCCCCTCGATGGTTATATCCGCTGAGCAGGGATGATAGTCAGTCTTTTTATTCAACATTACACAGCTTATTTTTATTTTCCTTTTGAGTGAAAAGTACATCTAGAAGATCTAAAGAAAATATTTTTTCGCATCTCTTGGGTGTTTTACTGCCTATTTGGGCACTGTTAATATAGAGGAAGAAAAAACATGTTTTTTTATTTTTTTTTTATTTTAAAGAGCAAAAGAAGGACAACAAAGCAGTAGGGGTATACACCAAATTACAGACAAAGTGGTAGGACATTATCAATGGTGGTTATTTTACCTATTGGCATCTTCAAGATAGTTTCTCAGGAAAACAAATAGACAAACAATAGTGAGTTACAGACAGAAATGGCAGGAAATTATCAATGGTTGTTGTACTATACCCTGGGTTCTCCAAAGTGGTCTCTTGGGAAAACAAATAGAGATATACATGAGTGATCAATCAAATAATCATTGACTATTCTCGATAGCTGTTGTTGCAAACACATAGTAACAAACACACATCCATTTACGAAATAGCACAGGAGCAATACAAACATTACAGAATTATAGACAGACTGGTAGGAAAGCATCAGTGCTGCAATACATGTTGGCATCTTCAAAGTGGTTTCTCAGGAAATCAAAGATATGCAGGAAAGATCCAACAAGTAGTTACAGCCCAAGGGCTGAGAAAAATAGTGGGTTACCTCCTCATCAGTGACTCCCCTCACAGAGGTGTGACGGCTGGAAGGCCAGGATTGAAAACAAGGACTGAGAGACCAGCACCAGTGTCCAGCCACGGCCGTCCACTTTTTCCTCTGTGCTCATGGTTTCGCGGGGCTCCACCTTCTCCATGAAGGCGGTTCTACAGAATCCGAACACCGGGCACCCATGTAATGCATGAAGTCTCGGTGCAGACCTCTCCCGAGCTCCACTCGCTCCTCCACTGCAGCCTGTACAGTCAGGGGAAGAATGGCCTCCAGGGGGTCTCCCCGGGCGTTGTGCAAGGTCCTCCTGGTTTACAGCTTCTGAACGGCTCTCCTGACCCCAGTCCACAGGACCTCTGACTCCTTGGGCTTAGTCTGTATTCTCATGTTCTCCGAGTCTTTGTTCAGCAGCTGCTCCTCCGCTGACTCTGGACCTTTCTGGCTCTCAAGGACAGGGCCAAGAGCGACCTGCCGCGTGGCATGGGACGGTTCACGCACGTCTCTGGGTGGGCCTTTGTGTCGGTGCTTCTCTGTGGCATGGCGGTTCTCCACCGCGCGTCTCCGCACCGCTTCCTGGGCACCTGCTGCCTGCCTTTCCGGGCGCCTGCGTGGCGGGGTCTGCACAGGGCTTGTGAGGGCCGGCGCGCCTCACGGAGCAGAAAAACGTGGTTTGACTGCTGTTATTAATTTAAAAAGTTGAAGAAATGTGTCTAATATTATCCTGAGCCCTAAGAGGTGAGTGGAGTTTGGTCAAGTTGAGGTCAGTCAGTTGAGGGGTGGGTTACATGGGCAAGAATACACTTATTATCTATGTAGCAAGTAGTGAAGGCTGGAAGGGTAATTTTATCAGATTCAGGGCCTGAAAGAAACCTTGATGCTATCATATCGCACCTGAACTAGATGTACTAAGATACCAGATGTACCTTAATGTAAACTTATGAGCTTACTTACTAATGTATCAATTTGCCAGTTTTAATAACTGTACCATGTGAGTGTAAGGTGTTATTCATGGGGAGGCTGGGAAAGGAGTAAGGGCAAATACAGTAACTCTGGACTTTCCACTCAAATTTGTTTGCAGTAAACCTAAAACTGCTCAAAAGGCAAAGAAGAAAAAGATCAAGGGTTTCCAGAGATGCAGGGAGAGAGAAAGAGGAATAAAAAGATAAAGCACAGGGAGTGTTAATGCAGTGAAATTAAATGCATGGCATGGAAATGGTGGATATATGTTATTACACATTTGTCAAAACCCCAGAGAGTGTACAATGAGGGGAGTATAACAGTGTATCTATATATGGTTCATCAGTGGGGAAAAAAAGCACAGGCTAATACACGGTAAAACACAGGACAAAGCAGGGGTGGGGTCAGCAGGAGAAGGAGTATATGGAAACTCTGTACAGTACTTTCTCATTTCTTTTCTTCAAATTTCAAAGCAATCTTTTATATATTAAATATACCTTATTTAAATAATATTAAACATAGTAGGCTCTAAGCCAGTTGGTCCTAGTGTTGGAGTGAGAGGGTATTGCAGGTAAAAAGGGATGAAGGAGAAAAAGCAATCCTAAAACTAAAATGAACTTCATTATTTTCAAAAATGTGTTTGTCTTCGTTGCTTACTGCAGACCTGGCCCCTGGAGCTCCCAGCTCATCATGGAGGCAGTGGTGTTGGTCCACAAATCACTCAGACAAGGGAACTGAAAATAAATGTTTAAAATTCAGGGCAAGCCAGGTGTGGTACTGCACACCTGTATGCACTCAGGAGACTAGATCATGAGGATCACCATAAATTACGTGCCTGTAATCCCAGTACTCGGGAGGCTGAGGCAGGAGGATCATTGGGAGTTCCAGACCAGCTTGGGCTACAAAGTGAGCTCAAGACCAGCCTGAACTGCAGAGTGAGACCCTGTCTCAAAAAGACAAAAAAAGAAAAATACTCAGGGCAAATGCCGTGACATCTTCTTCATGTGCACCAGAAGGAGGAAAAATGGAAAAGTAGGCTTACAGTACTATTAACCCCTTTGATGGTACAGAACCCTCTCTCACTAGTAGTGTGTGAATGTAATGACACTAAAACTTTTCCTGACTTATTACATGCTTATCTAACATTTTGCTGGATATTCTGCAGGTGGAATGTCACCCTTACCTCAACCAGAGCGAACTACTGGAATTCTGCAAATCCAAAGACATTGTCATGATTGGATATGCTGTCTTGGGGTCCAACTCAGGCAAGGAATGGTAATGATCTTTATGAGGTTATGCTAATCACAGATCATTTGACCTTTGAGGCTATCTCTTAACAGTTTGGGGAAAATTACAGAGTAGGACTACGTCACCCTTGTATACCTTTACCTGACATTGTAAGGGCCCAATAAAACGCTATCGAATTATTAACATTGAAACCATTTTTGAAATAACAAATGCTCATGCAAAAGTTATTTATTATGATGGTGATCATTGGATTTTACTTTGGGCAATATTTTGTCCTTTTGACTCATCCAATCTTCTACTAAATTTCTCAAAAATGCTTGAAAAAAATGAGAAAAGTACCTGAGTTTCACCTTCTCCCTTCCTTTCCTTTACTCTTCTTTTTTGGATGCATTAAAATAGACATGAAGACAGTCAGAGGGTAACACAATGGTTTTAGAGGATTAGACATCATTAGTCAGAATGAGTACCCCTGGGGAAAAAAAGGATATTCAGTGTTAGGTGGTCTCAGTGTGCCTGCGACTATGTTTTTGTAAAGGATGATAAGATTACTCTGAGGGGAGACTTGGTTCAATCAGTGAGAGCAGCAGAGAAGCTGCTTCTCTGTTTTAGAAAGCCTTGGTGAAACAGCAGTGAGCTGAGACCTCTGTGATTATTTATTTGTAGTTCAAGGACGTGAGAACAGAGATGTAGGAGAAAAGAACTTGTAACATTTGAATAAGAGCTTTGGTCAGGGGACAGGGAAGGGATGGGATGGTTTGTTTTGTGACTGCATTGATCTAGTTTGAGCAATCTCATTAAGCAGGAAGCTTATCAGAGGGTAGGAGGAATGCAATGGCCGAGCCAAACCCTCTGGGAATGACTTGCTTTTAACTCTGCTGACTGTTCTCCTCAAGATCTGCTCTAAAATTTATTCAGGCATTCCAAGACCCTGGAAACTACTGTTTCTTCCTTTTTGGACTCATTTCAAGTGCTCCTCCAGCCAGCATCTCCCCATGTTAGGTAACACTGTTTCTCCTCACAGGTTGAACAAGGACAACCCAGTTCTTCTGGAGGACCCAGTACTCGTGGCCCTTGCTCAGAAGCACCAGCGCACTCCAGCCCAGGTTGCTCTGCGCTACCAGTTGCAGCGGGGAGTGGTGGCTCTGGCCAAAAGCTTCAATAAAGAGCGACTCCAGGAGAACTTCCAGGTGCAGTAAGGGCTGTGGGACCTCACAGAGACATGTCACTTCCTCTGGGTATGCTGTCATTGGTGCGGGGCTCAAGGTACATTTGAACACAGCCCATCTCCTTGTATACTCTCTGCTTACAAGCACTGTATTTAACCTTTATCTTCTAATCCCTACAAGGAAGAAAGTATAGTGGTTTAAAGGAATAATTACTAAACAGAGGGTCAGAGTTGGATTCCAAATCCTGATTTGGCCTCTGCATATGATCCTGAGTAAATCACCCCTTGATTTCTTCAGCTGTATCTTAATTCTTTATGTTTTGCTATAACAGAATATGAGAGACTGGAAAGATTATAAGGGAAAAAGATTCATTCAGTTCACAGTCATGGAGGATGAAAGTCCTGGATGGTGGCACATGGCCAGGGCCCTGTGCTGCATCATAAAATGGTGGAGAAGGGGAAGGAAAGCATAGTTTCATAAAACAGGCCGCGCTTCAGGGGCAAGTTCACTTTCTAAGAGCCTGCTCATTCCATGACTGGTTTAGTCATAAAGGAAGAAATTGCTCATTGCCTCAGGAATTAACCTGGTCACATGACAGTGGCATCAATCACCTCGTGAGTTCCTTATGAACACCACTTAAACCCCTCTCAAAGGCCTCAATGCCATTACACTGGAGAGTTTTGAAAGGAATGAGCTACATCCAAACCAAAGCAAGCTGTACAATGAAGCAATTAGCTCAGATGAGATTTGGATTAAACAATCTCTAGGATACCTTTGTTATAATCACAGCCACCCAAAAGGAGTTTCTGAGGAAAGATTAGAGATGCTGATTTCACCTGGCTGAATGGACAGACTCCTGTGATGTTGGCCATCCAATGAACCCCAAGTTCAAGATAACTGTCTCGTGCATCCATGTAAATTTGTATGTTTGTGCAGAGAAAATAAGAGGAACAGCAACCACCTCAGAGAAACTGATCGTTCATGTCTTTGATAGGTTTTTGACTTCCAGTTGACACCAGAGGATATGAAAGCTCTAGATGGCCTAAACAGAAATATTCGCTATTTTCCCGATTCTCAGTAAGTAGTTTGTTCTACTGTAGACACGTGGGACCAGGATAGTGAGAAATTCATTTCATTATAATCTACAGAAGGCAGTCTTCTGCTTAGGGAAAGTAGAAAGCATTTTTTTTTTACAGACCTGAGATTAGAAACCTGTCCCAAGGCATAGGGCTCTGCGTGACTAAGAGGGAAATTACCTTCCTCCAAGCTGTGCTTTCGCTCTGTGTTTTCTCCTTGTGAATCTCACCACCAGGTGCATCTAGTGAGGGCCCATTTTTGTTTTATTTGCTACGTTACAGCAGGCAGAAGGCGTGGTGGTTACAGAGTGGAAACATGTCAATTCAGGTCCTTCTTCCTGTTATAAATCCATAGTTCCTACCATGGACAATATCTTGATTCCCTCATCTAACCTTAGTTTTGTCCCAAAGTCTCTACTTCTGAATAGCGTGAACATGAGTTTGGGCACTGATTTTCCAACATACGAGTTTTGGAGGCCAGGTCAAAATAAGACACTCTTCCCCTGATTCCATTTCTGTCCTATATGCAGGATGCATTAATTCTATGCCAGTAGCCCCAAAGTCTTAACTCTTTTCAGAACTAATTCAAAAATCAAAAGTTCAGGGTTTCATCTGATGCCATATCAGTGAGACTCAGGGTATGATTAATCCCATAGCAGCCATGAGCTTGTGAAACCTAAATAAATTATCTAGTTCTGAAATACAATGGTGGAACATTCCCATCCTAAGAGGGGAAAGGAGGCAAGAAAAAGTGCATGTCTGGAATAAAAAAGACCAGAACCATACAGTGAAATGAGTAGTAAGACTTACAGCTTCAGAATAAATCTTTTATCCCATGTGCTGCCTCTTGGGTACACTTTGGGGTTTTGGTCCATAAAGCCTCAGGCAGGCTGATCCCTATCTTTGCTGGGCTTATTGGAGGTAGCACTTCTCACAGGTTGGAGACTTGTGACTACAGCTATTTCAGAAAAGATGTTGTATACTGGTAGCTGTATTGTTCTGGACTCTCAAGGAAAGCCTGCCACTACATTTCCAGTAGGCTCCCAGTAGCTTAGTGAGCAACTCTATTTATTCCCACAGTTCAAACATAACAGACCTAAATTTAAAACTTTAATCTTTTCTTGCTGTATATATTCCTCATGTTAGAGCTGCAAATATCATCATTATAGCTCAAACCTCACTCTCTATGTCTAATTAACCATTGGGTCATATAGATCTTATATCTCAAGGTTTCTCATGTTTCTGTTAGTTATATCATAAGCCCCATCCCTTCTAATTCAGGTCTTGAGTTAGCTTTTTACCCATCTCAAAAATAAGATCACAATAATTTTCATGCTCATGTTAGTCTAAGAAAACAGCTCTTCACCTAGCCTTTAAAAATTAATGAACCAAGATGCTCTCTTTACCTTTGTAGGTTTTGTCATCACCCAGATTCCCCTTTTTAGAAGAACTTTAACAACAGACTCTGTGGTTGCTTCAGTGGTCTTTGATTTTGGTTGATGAATCGAGAACACATCAAGAATGAGGAAGTAATGACAAGAATTTTGGAATGATCATGTTGCTATAATTAGAAGAAAATTGTTAAGTTTTTCTAAAATTTGAACATTAATACATTTATGTGAAAACAGAATCTCATTCCCTATGCTCAAAGCAACAAAGGTTTCTTGAGCTATTGATCTTCCTTTAATAAAAATTTGAAAATGTTCACTTCCAAAATGTGTTTCCATTTAATTGGTGAATATCTCCATCAACTTCTTAGTTAGCTCCTCTTGGGTTTTCTGTTCTTCCCCATCTAATGGCTATTGGGGCCTGATGCTACAAATATTTGTCTTAGAATTTACAGATTCTAAATAAAATGTTCATAAGTAAAATCTCAAATTCTGTGTGTTTCTTGGAACTTTTTACCTCTTCAATTTTGTTAATGAAGAGTACCTAAATGCCTCATCTCTGTGGTCCTTACTAGCAAGGAGAGAATAATAGTTTTAGGGGATGGTTAGGTATAAGACATGTTTCTGGATTATGCAGGTTTCCATCCTTGTGACAAAATAATGAGAAAGACAACGCAACAGAGGAAAGGTTTACTTCGGCTTACTGTTTCAGAGGTTTTAGTCCATAGTCTACTAGCTCCACTACTTAGGGCCTGTGGTGAAGATGAACATTGTGTACAGGTAGTTGGCAGAGGAAAATGGCTCACCTCATGCTAAAAAGAAAACAGGAAGCTAGAATGAGAGCACAAACCAGATGGAGGGAAATGGCATGGGGACAAGATAGTCCCCAGTGGACACACCCATGACCCGCTCTGTTCAACTAGGCCCCAGATCTCAATTTTCCGTCTCTTCCCAATAATACCATCAAAGTAAGAATCCATCAAAGGATTGAACCACAGTAAAGTTAAGAGTCCTCAGGGTCTAATCCCTTCCCAAAAGCCCCACCTCCAAACATTACTGCAGTGGGAACCAAGCCTTCAACACATCAGCTTTTGGGGGACACTCCAGATGCAAACTAAAACAAGCCCCAGAGACCCCATTGTGCACACTACTTCTTACCTGTGCTATAGTTTGCTGTGTATAGAAGCCCTCCCTGATTTACAGATGGTGAAACCAAAATAACCCGTGGTTGTTTTGCTGAATTTCTAAGAAAGAGAGAAAAATATTCAGAGCAACAACAGAGGAACATCATAATTCCCAATGTAAACACTATTAACAAAGTTACAAAACATGCACATGCAGATCCTGTGACCTAAACTCCTTGCTCACATAACTTTAAACTCCTTGCTCAGATAATTTTCCACTGATTTCATTCATTTAAAGGAGTTTTTTTTTTTTTTTTTTGCTAATAGGAAGTAAAACAATATTAAGCATTTTGTAAGATAAAATGAGGATTCACTGGAATTAAATATTTTATGGCACATTTGATGAGCTACATTTACATTACTGGATATTATGAAAGAAATTTGAAATGTCTCTTAAAATATATATCCACAGCTTTTTTTATCAGATATATGTTTTAAATTTGGTAATCTTGGAAAACATTCAAGTAATATTTTAAAGGACCTGAACTATATTATAGAGATTAATTTTTACTAACAAAATGCAAATATTTCAAGAAAAAGGAAGTCTTCCAGGCTAAGATGATTTAATTATGTACCAAAGGACCCTCCCCTCAAAAAAATATTGTAAATAATCCTTGTGATTATCACATGGCTATTTTTATGCCCTACAGAAATGAATTATAGTAACACTTGGAGTAAGAAGTACTGTATTTTCAGATTTTAGCAAAGAGTTAATGTAAGATGAAAATCTGGAAGTTGATTTTCTTAAAATCCTTTGTGTCTTGATAACGTTTTAAAGACTATATGTGTCTCTTGGGCATATGCACCTGAAAATAAATATCATAGCTCTAATGTCCCCAAAAGGGTCAGACCACTTTTAAGTAGATTTAACTGGCTTCTTTCCCTGTGAGATTCTTGCCTATATCTTTCACCTCCATCTTCTCTTAGTGTATCAAAAGTATTTTAATTATATACCTAGCCCTCTCTGAAAAAATGGTTCAAAAAATGTATATTAAAAACCCTCTCAGATATCCTTGGGCCCTGTCATTCACAAATAGAGATAAACCGCTTGTCCTGGCCTCATGACTTGCATAACTCTCACCAACTCTCTAATATGCCGAAGGCTTCGTGATTGCAAGTTGTAAAGCAGAGTGTACAGCAATCTAGGGATACTGACTAGCAGGGGTACTTTCTCACTACCTGTGAAAAACTGAATTGAGATGTGTTGGCCAATATCCATAGTGGATTTTGTTTCTATCTCTGTGAAATTATAAGTCACATTTAATAAGATTATCTTGTTCAGAGTAGACCATCAACCTGTAATTGAACTGTTTAGAAATTTTGCAGTCCTGCTTTGTTCAATAACAGGTCAGTCCAATTGTCTGATGAGTACAGGTTATACAAAGTGACTCTGAAGTGACTTGCTTCTCCAATTGGCCAAACCTACCCCAAACCATTCCAGGAAGGAGCCAATTAGAAATCCAAAGAAATAAGTTCTAATTCCCTGGGTGATCAGTACAAACCAATTATTGGTGAACTTACATGCAGAGTGGGTTTCAGCTTTCTTGCAACAGATAATAAGTCAAGAGACTCTACCTAGGATGTTTGCAAGGTCAGTGTATGGAGTTTGTATGAAATTTTAGAGAATTTGACTCAGAATGGGAGCTAGTATCTATGATCTTTTAGTGTCTCAGGTAACCATCTAATATGTTATTAGTGTCTCAGAATATTCAAGGTCATGGCATCGGTACAAACCTGTAGGTAAAAAAAATGCAATTGGCCACATCAAAGAGTAACAAAGTCACTTTGTGTTTCAGTCCAAAGAGCTAGTTGTGATAGGGCAAGTGAGTTCAATGAGACCAGCATCCACAACAGACCAAAGAGCAGAAACAAATAAAGCTTTATTGAACCAGTTGATGGACAGTCTCTAACCAGGAGTCAGAGATGTCCACACCAATCTGGGTTTCACTTTCTGTTTAAGTACATGTTTAGGTTTCCATAATAACCATTACCTCATTTTTGGGAATTTTACAAGAATGTCACATAATGGTTACAAGGCTTACCTTTCTCAGAACTTGTGTGTTGTGGTTTAAATTTAGCCTACTTCCCAATTTGTCCTGTTTGTTCTGTTCCCATGACTGAGCTCTCCTTTAAGTAGGTTGATAACTAATCAAGGGGTGGGGTGAGGAGTAGGGTTAACTACAGTTTAAGAGAACTTAAGTGACTTCCTTTAATATGGAGTTAGAAAATGGAGTCCTTCTTGCCCTTTCAGTGGAAAACTAGTGAATTCTACACTTTTCTTTTTTTCTTAATCATAGGGAGATAGTTGCCAGAGATAGGCAACTAGTTGAAGAGAAGTAAGCATTCTCTTGCCTAAAAAATCCTCAATATTTGTCACATAAAACTATTACAGAGTCCAGAGTAATCTTCTATTCTTATATCTGGTAATCTGAGCAACTTCATTGAAGATAACAATATGTAAAATAACAACCACTATTAATCCCTACCATTTAGTTTGAAACTCTGTATCATTTTTAATGTCCTGGCATTGTTTTGTTTGTATTTTGCTACTGTTCTTTTTTTGTGTTCTATTTTCTTTAAAATAAAAATAAAAAAACTATTATAAACATGTAGTACTTATGATTTGGCAAAATTTTGATTGATCTATTACTGTTTTAAGGTGACATCTGCTTTGGGGGACTTTTCATGATTTAAACTTAACACTAGAAAACATTCTGTTTTTAGGGATACATTTTAATAATAAATACATCTGAACATAAGTTTTAGCTAGAAGAACAGAGTTATATATGTATCTAATTATGTAAATAATATATACAAAATGGTATGTCATTAAATGAAATATTTATGTTTATATAACAAGAAACAACTGTGAACATATCTCACTAATAATTAAAATTGGTATTCTTTATATTTTTCTAATTGTCCTCTTGTAGTTGTAAATGCAAAAAAATGTGGTTTTCACTCCAAATACACCTGTAGTTTCACTTAGGTGTTTTGGTCAGCTTTCTGTTGCTGTGACAAAATATCTGAGAAAAACAAAAGGAGAAAAAGGTTATTTTAGCTCATGGTTTCACAGGTTTCAGTCAGTGGTAGTCTGGCTTCATTGTTATGGGCCTGTGGTGGGCAGAGCATCATAGATGAGAAGGTGAAGTGGAGGAGAGTGTTCACTTCTGGCAGCCAGCAAACGCAGAGAGGGAGAGAGCATGCAGTGGTTGGCTTTCTCCTCCTCCTGGTTTGTGCCACCCAGGCCCCCAGCCGGTTTGACTGTTTCTCCCACATTCAAGGTGGAACTCCCCCTCAGTTCATTGACCTACATGCCAGTTGCCTGTGAAACAGCCTCATAGACATGCCCAGACACATTCACAAGTGTGTTTACTAATGTTCTCGGCATGTCTCAAGCCAATCAATGTAACAGTCAAGACCAATCATCACATTTAGGTTTAACTTTCATTTCACATCTTCTACAACTAGCAGAAAAATTGCCAGGCTGAAACAGATAGAGAGCTTTTCCTTTGCCCTCTTTTAGCTCTTCCTACCTGCCCTATTCTTTCTTGTTGCTGGGACATGATACCTGGTACCCACAGATTAACAGAGGAAAACTTTATTTTCGCTCATAGTTGGCTGGCTCCAAGGCAGAGAGGTATAGGAAAGGAGGCTTGCCTATGGCATGGCAGTCAGGAAGCAGAGAGAGATAAAGGGAGGAGAGAGGGAAGTAGACCACGCCCCACATGACTCATAGTTTTCAATCAAGTTTCACCTTGAAAAATCACATTTAGCCAAAAACTCAACACTGGACCAATCTGCACTGATGACAAAACTTGCCAAATCCCCACATATGAGCCCATAAGGCTTTGGGGAACATCTAGACATAAACCATACTATCACCCATGGTGACCATGGTCTCTCGTTCAATGATTAAGAGATAAAAAAGTTAGCTGAGAAGTCATCCCCCCATGTCTCTCTTTTCTAGCAATTAAGAGATAAGTAAGCTTTGCGCAGTGGCAGTATCGTAGCCAATGAGATTTATCCGAGGCGCGATTATTGCTAAGAGATAAGTAAATTAAAAAGCGGAAAAATCACTTGCCTATAGTGAACATGGTCTCTTTATTTAAAAAAGAAGTTACTAAATTGAGAAATCAAATAACTAGGTACATATTTATATTGTTTCCCAAAAGCCTCAGGAGAATTATAAACTTGCCCCAGATTATGGGGCCTATAGCTGGCTGAATAATGGCCTCCTAAAGATGTCCAGGGCCTAATCCCAAGAATTTAGAATATATTCCTTCATATGATAAAAGGTACTCTA